TGTGTGACATTGTTATGTAGAAAAGTCTGTGATAGATGATATTATTTTGCATTTTTGTTTTAATATATGAATATTGTGCGAGCTTGGTTTGCTTTATTAACACTTTGATTTCGTATGATTCAAAATAAAAAAAAAAATGATATGTATTTTCTACAGAAACTACTGTAAAAAATTCATATGTCTGCATATGTCCATGCTTTTAATATTAAATCATTATAACAGTACGTCACACTGAGAATTTACTTTCCATTTTACCCCTCCCAGACTGAAATCCTGGGAGCGCCACTGTAACTGACCTTATGATTTCTTTATGCCTTTACATAGATTATACTTTATTTTGTCTTTATTGAATTCGGGCATTAATGTTCAACAAATTTTCAGTTTATATACATCTCATTAAGTCGGTTAGGAGGTAGAATAGATATATATATATATATATATATCTCAATCTCGCCTCTTGTAATATTATTACAAATAAAAAAATGTTAATTATTATTATTATTATTATTATTATTATTATTATTATTATTCACACCAGATGATTTTTACGCAGATCAATCTCATGGCCGGACTGACGTGTTGTCCTAACTAACTGGCTTATAAGGCCACGAAGGATATGTTTATAACAACCCGTGACCGTTAATAAGATTTTGTGACAGTATGTCTGTGGTAATGCCGTTGTTTATATTTGACTAGAGATCGTTTCAGGAATTTGTGAAGATCTTTCCTCAAGTTTGTAGACACTACTCCAGCTCTTCTCACTTCTCTTACATCCCATACGTGCTGATTCTCTATTGCCAAATTTTCAAAACTTACTTTTTCTGCTTCGGTATCGGCCTGTTTTGGGAAAGGGGACATGCTACATCTATGATTGTACACCTTTTCTGGGTTTTATCAAACTGTACAATATCAGGCCGATTGTAATCTACAGTGCAGTAAGTGATCATTGGCCGGTCCCAATAAAGTATATACTTCTCAGACTCAAGCATAACTTCAGGACTTTGCTTATACAGGATGTCGCATTGGGAACTCCATCGATAGATTTGTCGAAAAGTAGGCATATGATATTTTTGAAAATTTGGGAGTATACTAATGTCGATGGAGCAACGACAACTAAAATATTTTTAAGATGGCGGCAATTCCGGTTATACCGGAAGTTGATGCCAACTTGATTATTTTAAATTGGACACCCTCAATATTACCCAATGTCCAGATTGAACGTTAAATTCTAATCACATTTCATGTATAATACTCTATACCTAAGTCTAACCGTTTTTGAAATATTCCAAATTTTATGTCAAAAATGACGTTTGCAGGCCCTAAGATAATTGTTCATTTCCCCTATGTTGAACACCTTATTGTTTAATGCGGATTGATTTTCTGGTAAACACGGATATGGTTTAGTATTTAGTATTTCGATAATTATTTATAAAGGGTGGTCAAAAAATTAGTATAAAGACTGAGTGTCAAAAATTGCCAAAAGTCGATTTTTTTAAATAAAAATCCCCTGTTTTTATAAGTTTACTACATTAGATCCCAAGTATTCTTTCTATCTACTGTTTCAGTTGTTTTGACAGGCTGAGTGGTCAACGGTTTCCCTTTTTACAAGCTTTTTTCCATGTAAGATTTATTGGTGTTTGTACCAATGATTTTTGAGCGAACAGTTAACCTTTTTTTAAACCTAATATCAAGGTAAATGAAAAATATTACAATGCCATTAAAAATAACAGCGTTCCACCTAACCTTATGCAATAAAGCCGAAAAGTCAAGGAGGTGTCCCTGTGTTCTTAGTCATTCAAAAACCAGTTGTACGTGCTGCCGTAAACCATATATCAGACGAACGCCTGTGAAAAGGAGAATCTAAAAGTATCAAAATATAAAGGATGTTCCATTTGACAATTTTAAGAAACGGATCATTTTGCGTTATTGACCACCCTGTTAAACTAACCCAAAAGTTGAAAAAGTAGCTGGATGAGGAGGAAGTATGGATTCATACGAGTAGAATTTTTGGGTTCCCAGTTCTCTCTAGCTATAACCAGCTGCGGAGGTGCAAGTTATCAAAGTTGAGTGTTTCTTCGATAGATTGCCTAATATCTCAACAATTTGAAAATAGAACTTTATAGTATATCAAATCGCTTCGTTCGGTCAGCCCCATCGGAATCTGCAGTGAAATGTAGGTATATCCGTTTAAGAAATGTATGGCTCAATTACGAATCATCCTGTAGGAATAAAAATATTTTCCAAGTAAGGAGCGTACCGTTGCACAGTGATTCCTCCATAGGCCAAAAATCCCAAAAACTCATGAGTTTATAACGGTCTAAATGAGTCGCTAAGTTATCGAGCGGGCGCGAGGCTTTAAAAATATGAATAATAATGCAATTGGTTCAAACTGTCATTCACCTTCGTCTATCGCAAGCGACAGCTCGATTGTAATTACCGGGACGTGTAAGTCGTTTCTTTTGTGGATTATAATTTCAAGCCTAGTGTTTTCACGTAGTGATAACAGGGAGCTGCAGGAATATGGTGTGTACTCTTATTATTTACCTGTTTTATGTAAAAACATGCGATTTGGAGTTTTATATAAATTATTTATTGAAAGTTGTTTTTGCTAAATTTTTTCCTATAAAATTAATTCATTTCGAGTTATAAACTTTTGGCTGTGCCTTGCTGCAGCTGAGATAAATGTTATCTTAAAGTAAAGAGTTTCTAAATTAGAGGTATTTAGGTTTCATCTGCATCTTGCTGCCCCTTCTTGGGTTTGTGGGGTGCCGACCCATATAGTTACAGAAAAGGAGGTGTTTTCCAAATCCAATTTTGTTGTTGTTTTAGGCAAATTTTTAGAGTGTTCTGTTTCGAGTAGGACTATTTTTGATATTTGGCACTCTAAGGATAGTGCCGAATAAAAATTGCAATTATATCCTCGACACATTGACTGAAACGTCGGGTCTTTCAGATAACATCGAAAATGTTGATTTCAGGAGATTAAGTGACAGAATTAGAAATTTATGTAACGAATTTCACATTATTGGGTAAAGTTTAATCGCTCTAAATCTAAATTGGTAGAAATGTATTCGTATTGGCTAAGTCTAGGTGAAAATATTGATATACCGCGATGCATTGAGCAATTCACGATGGTGTTGTCTATTGGAGAGTATCTGAAGAAGCGGCTGGAGCGACTAGCAAACACATTAAATCATTTCGACGAGATCATAGACGAAAAATGAGCCGCGTTTTGACCAGAACCGATTTAGTTAATAGGCTTCTTCTTCATTCGGATCCCTTGATTTTGGGTTTATGAAAGTTACATGTTAAAAAAAGGCATGTTGTCAAAATCTGTGTTGGATTTATTAAGTTAACTGTTTCTATTATAATGTATTATAAGTATTAGGGAGTATATTTCTTTAATATATCTTATTTGCCCTTATTATGAACTATTTTATTTTATTTCTTTAATATAGGATAACCGTATTTTAAGTATTAAAATACAATGAAAAAGGTTAAATCTACGTTGTGTATTTATGACCGCCCTAGTATGGAAGAGGAATCACCGTGACGTTGGCTACATTCTTTGTGATTAACTTTTTTAGATATCATGCGTAATAACCGAGTTATGTCAATGATAACTGTATTCTGAAAAACTCAATTTCTAATTTTGACGTCATTCTGGGAAGCTGAAAATATCTTACAACAAACTTTCTTGGCTACTTTTTTTGTAAAATTTTTATCCGGCAGTATTATTTTCAAGATGTGTGCGGACTGGATATGACAGCTGATGAATTTTATTGGGTAATTTTATTATTTTATTTTCATCTTCTGAATACGATTTTGTAGGACTCGCCGAAACTTGGTTGTGTATTGATGTGAGTAATCCGGAACTATTTTCTCAGGAGTATACCGCCTATCATTGTGACCGAGATTTCATAAGGACGCGCACATTTATTTACAAACTCATACAGAGTGAAGCAGGTTTTCCAGCTTTATTAGCTAAGATTAACTTTTATGTACCATCCCGAATTTCCCGAAGATATCCCGCTTTTTACTCGAAAATACTTAAAGTCTAATATCATGCCTAAGTCACCCATCTACTTTATGTACTCCAGCTTTAACGCAATAGCAGATAGTTGTGACATTCATCACGATAGAGTCAAAGACATACTGGGCAATTTCAGTGAACACTATTATTTAATTTATAACAATCATTTGTTTCCTCAATTTTGCAAGAAACTTTGCTTCAACTATATTGTCCTATAAGTGAATTCTTCTGTTTGGCAATAGAGATGTGTTATTGTTATTATTATTATTTCCATTTTTTGACGGTTCATGACCGGATTTCACACCGTCCAAACCATATTCGGTTGTAACTACTGTATTGGAAGAAACTCACCCTACATACAGGAAACGCCTGATCAAGTGGCACATATTAAAGATGACAAACTTTTGCATTATTTGATAGTGGTGTCGTTGCACGTCCAGCTCCTGAAGAGATTTGAGGGTATCACACCCATATTAGACAGCAATTGGCGCTACTCTTATTTTTTCATACTTGTTCCAAGTTGTTTGTTATTGCGATATCTATAAGAAGTGCCTCTCTATCCTTCTTCTTAATCACTGTTATGATCAATGCTCTTGACTGAAACTATAGTAAGGTCCCAGTACATTTCATATTCTCCGTTTTCTAGCACCGTTTATGGTTTATATTTATAATACTGAACCTTGGAGCTAAAAGTAGACACTAGAGTGCCAGTTCCTGGTGTATAATTTTCCCCACCTGATTATGTCTGAAATTATATTCATTCTGGATGGTCTTGGATGGCGATGAAGATCCTTTCGGTTTCTGGGTATTGTCTACAGTAGCTTGGCTTCCAATGAGAGCCTTTTCCTTCCACTTGTTCATTTTTTCAATATCTTCCATTATGCACAAGGGGTTATTCGCGTCACAGAGTTATTATGTACTATTATTATCATTATTATAGCTTTTTATCTCAAGTTATCCCTGGCGTATGACGAGGTACGGGTGTTTCTCACCAAGCACTCTCGCCTATTCTAGGCTCAATAACCGTCGCACTATTCTTGTCGTATTTAGTATGACAGCTTTCTGTAAGAGTTTGAATATTTCTTGGCTTAGACCAAGGATTTTGAGATATTTATGAACTCCTTTTGGTATGACTCCCGTTGCATATAAATAACAGGCACAATTCTGAACCTGCTAATCCTGTATATTTTTGATTTTTCTCTGTGATGGTAGCGAGTACGTTGTGGGTGTTAGGTATTGCAACGTCTATGATATAGGCTTCTCTTACTTGTTTGTTCCTTACAACTATATCAGGCTTATTGCCTGGAATACTCTTATCTATTGTAATAGAGCCGTCGTAATACGAGTAGATGGTATATTGGTTTATCTGACCAGGTGTTAGCATATCTCCCAATAGATCACAGTAACTACTGTACGAGGGATGTCTTTTAAGTTTTGCATATAGAAACATAGTAGGCCGCGCGGATCAAACGTCAGTACTGAATCTTAACCTCACTCTTTCGTAAACCCAAATTCAAAGTTTCACAACAATACGTGCAGTGTTCTCACTACAGTGAATTTTTAAGTGTCACCAAGTCATTAGAAAAATAATATTCAACCGAGAACATTTTCGCGCCATAATTTATTACAACTTTCAGAGACAATTATCGCAACAAGAATACCTTGCTGAGTTACTGTCTGTTTTCGGCAACGAAGCGCCACATAAGTCGACAATTTCCCGTTGGTATGGAGAACTCAAACGTGGACGGGTAAGTCTTAGCGACAATCCCAGGATGGATGCACCAAAAACAGCAGTCACCCAGGAAAACGTCGATGCTGTGCGCAAACGCATCATTGAAGATAGACATGTGACATATCGCGAGATTGAGGCGCGTCCTCTAAGAGGAGTAAGAAAATTAGTTTCTCGTTGGATACCCCACCTGTTGACTGAAGAGCAGAAAGCAGCCAGGGTTAATTGGTGTCAAAAAACGCTTAACCGTTTCAATTCCGGAAACTCAAAAAATGTGTTCAGCATTGTTAGTGGTAATGAATCGTGGATTTACTGTTATAACCAGATAATAAACGACAGTCGGCTGTTTGGGTGTTCCAAGGTGAAGAAGAGCCAACAAAAGTCATCCGTTCTCGAAGTGTTTCGAAAAAGATGGTCACGACATTTGTGTCAAAAGCGGGTCAAATTGCAACAATTCCTCTTAATGAGCAAAGAACTATTACTGCGGATTGGTATACCACCATTTGTTTGCCAAAAGTCATCTCCAAGCTTCAAAAAATCAACCCCGAAAGAAGAATCATCCTCCACCAAAACAATGCAAGCCCGCACACAGCCCAAAAAACAAGGCAGTAGTTAAAGGAAGAAACCGTGGAGTTATTGGACCATCCTCCATATAGTCCCGATCTAAGTCCTAACGGTTTCTTTACTTTCCCGAAAATTAAAAGCAGACTGCGTGGTCAAAGGTTCCAGTCACCAGAAGAAGCAGTTGACGCATTCAAAAATGCCGTTTTGGATCTGCCAGCAAACGAGTGGAATAAGTGTTTCGAAAATTGGTTCGAGCGCATGCAGATGTGTATTAGTCTTCGTGGAGAATACTTCGAAAAACAATAAAGTCATTTAAAACTACCTACAGTGTTGTTTTATTTCCATATGCAAAACTTAATAGACATCCCTCGTACCGATCGCTCCGGCCAGCGACATCGAAAACGCTTATCGCAGCAGGATTCCTATCGTGGTTGTTCTCCGGCCTGCTACCGACCAGTGCTGCCAACTACCAGGAGGAAAGGAGAAAATCGCCGTTGTCGTTAGCAGCAGCAGTCGCCGGTAAACAATCGGGCCGGTATCTTTGTTACCGCACTTGCAGGTGTATTGCACTTCGCGAATGAATTTTGTCGGAATTTGATGTACAGTGCATCGATTGATGGTATTTGTGCAAAACAGCAGTTACTATTTATTGGGTTGGATCTTGTGTAAGTGTACAAAAATGCCAGATATCTGAAGCTTATAAATGCCTATATGAACCCGGCAGCTTAACCGTGCTTAGTAGTAGACGCTTGATCAAAAAGTTTGTCCTAATGCCCGCATGATAAGTTTCGCATAATGCTACTCTGCCACTTAACCCCAAAAAGACTGAAACAGAACACAAAAACATAAAAACATTTTATAAGTTATAAGTAAATAAAAAATGTAGGTATATAAAAATACGATTTATATAAAATATAAGAAAGTGAAGGATATTCAATATTTCAGGTTTTAAAAGTATACATTGTAACATTTGTAGAAGCAAAGTTATGTTATATTGGAATATTTGTGTGAGGTGACAAATAAGTTTTAACTGATTTATGTATTTCTATTCAAAATAAATTTCTTTATATGTCTTTTGAATTCGTCTTATGATAGTAATTTTATGTCTCGAGGTATATCATTGAACAAAATAACTGCGTTTTAGGTGAAGCATTTACGAAAGAATGAACTGTGAAGGGGCATTGTCAGTGTTTCCATGAATTGAACGTGGAGATATCAGCTTATTTTCCAAAAAATGGGGAAAAGGGTGAGAGCAAAAGTCTTTGCGTGTAAGTACCTAAGTGTAGCTCACACAGTTAGTCGGTCTTTTTCTACTATTAAAATTATTCTTACAGCATCGATAGTAGATATTTACAAATTACGGACCAGATCAAAGACTTGGGAGTTGTTTTTGACTCAAAATTACCATCTAAAGTACATATTGAAAAAGCAATCAACTATGCATATAATATGTTAGGTTTTATAAATCGCCATTGTGTTGATGTCATTTTATTCTTTTAATAGTTTGTATCGTTTTTTGGTTCGTTCATTACTTGAGTATTGCTGCTCCATCTGGTCCTCAAGTTATAACTTACAGATCATCCAATTAGAGCTTGTGAAGAAAAAGTTTGAGAATGTTTGGATATAAGATGGGTTTCATCGGAGAGGAGTATAGTTATACTGATAACTCTTCTCTCGAGCAGCGCAGGTTGAATTTTGACGTACTTTTCCTGCACAAAAGTATCAATGGTTAGATTGATTGTCTTCAACTATTAGGAAAAATCTCACTTATTGTAAATGATAGGAAAACCCGATATGCTGATACTTCCTTTGTCCCCTTTCATCAATCAAATTATGGCTTGAATGAACCAACAAGTCATTTTCTTACGTTAGGTAATAGATATACATCTAGTTTAGAAGTTTTTTGTATTGGTAAGAAAAGTGCTTTATTTTTAAACCCAAGCACAAGAATCTTGAGGCTGAAGCTACAACGTAGAGAAATTCAAGCCAGAAAGAAAGTTCTTCATCAGAATGCACAACAAAGATGATTGTATAATAATTTTGAATTCCATGATGAAAAACTACTTTCATTGTTAAAGTCTTATTTTGAGACTAGCCAAATAATAATTATGTATCAGCTAATCAGGTATTGGTAATAAATAGGAAATAATAATTTTGTAGGTCATAGCGGTTCTGGGACCGTTCCCCTCAAAAAACCAAATGATGCTTACTCTATAAGGGTCTAAAAATAATTTATGACATTGATAATATAACAACTCTTCATCAGTATCGGCACAAACTCGAGAGACGTCAGCCGATTGCACAAGAAAATCATAGAAAATCATTGGGCAAAATCATAATTCACTTCCGAATGAGTTTACTAAAATGTTGCGGTTATGAAAAGCTTTCTGGACGTTTATTAATTAACTTTTTCATCGCAAAAATCTGCATTACTTTTCCGTAGCTGTCGGGTCATTTTGGAAACCTGCTTTTTTAGGAAATGAAATATTACTATTATTTCTTAAGATAGTCTTTGGGCTTTCACATTTGTCGGTACGACGCGATAGACCGATAGAGCAAGGGCAACCAGAGTAAGTTCCTTATTTGAGGATAATTGGAGTTCTGAGCTTTGAGTTATTATCAGGGCATCTGGATTTTTCTCAATATTTGTCTAGACATTTCATAGCAGAGACGAAATTAAAATGGCTGATTGTTGAAATTTGAAACTCTTCAGGATCATCGAAAGGTACTACCATTAATGAACTAAGTTTCACTTTATTCGTAATACTGACAAAAAAATCTCCTCTGCATTTCATGAAATGAGGTTAATGGTGGCTTGTGGATCTAAACATCATTAAACATTCATGAGCTTTTGCTTCGATCATTGTATGATAAGCCTTATCAACTATCCCTCTTGGATTCGCTTTAGAAATGAATGAAATATTTTTCCGGCCAGTTGTTATGCGTACGTTCACTTTTATTTCTATCGGAGCATTACAAAATATTCATATAATAGTAGATTTTTATGTGTGAAAGTGGTTCTCACTAAATTCTGAATATATGATGGAGCACATAGCGAGAGTTAACGGGTCAAAGAACTTCCAGGCCACAATTGATGATGCTTACTAGCACACGCTTAGTAAACTTAAATATGACTGCAAAAAAATGTAGAGTCCTAATATATGGATAAGATCAATTCATAAGATGTCAGTATAGAAAAGAACCAAATACCAGACAGTTTCTATTATATAGATACATACAGTAAGTGAACAGATCCTTGAAACAATAAGTAGAGGAAACGTGGAAGACCAACCATGATCTCCCTAAACGGGGTTGTGGATAACAATGAAAGGTAAAGCGATTAAATAGAGCTCTGGAAGAGCTGGAAAAAGGTTGAGGTCTATATGACAAACAGCACATGCTGTGTGACTCCTTCCATAATGTAGGTATGTCTTTGTGTGCAATACTCTTTATTCTCTAAAGATCCAAATGTCCAAGATCTGCACGCCAAAAGGTATGCGCCAGCAGTTCCACCTGAGGTACTAGTACCCTAGCAGTAACATTAGGTCGCTTTTATCTAAAAAAAGAATGAATGTTCGCTAAAACCAGCCTTACAAAAACTATCCCGAAATGATGGATTGCTTGATGAATAGATCTATCCAAAATGAATTTGAAAGCATTATTATCGATCAGCAGCATGGTTTTCATCAGAGTAAGTCAAGATGTACCAACTTGTCGTTATACAGTAACTATTTGTGGAATTGAATTGATGAAGGTGTGCAGGTAGACTCTGTCATTTCGATTTTTCTGAAACGTTCGATCGGGTTAACCATTCGATACTATTGGCCAAACTTTACATCTATGGTGTTCAGGGTAGGCTCTTGGATAAGTAGTTACTTGTATTATTCGTGTAACTTCTATTCTATTTCTAGAATTATTCGGAACATAACCAAAAACGTAATAATCGAAGTCGAATACAATTTATTTAGTGTATGGAAAGTACTAACTCAACCAATTTGACGCCAATTAGCGATTTTAAAACCATCATCCGTAAATATTTTTTTATGCATGGTATCCTTAAGAGGCACCACTTAGCACAAATCTTGGTCAGCTATGATATAAATAGTGTCTTTTAGACCTAATTGCTTGGTGTAATGAAGTTGTGTTCAATGCGATGAAGTCAGTTGTATCAAACCGAATTAAGATTAATGTGCAGTTAATTTGAAAGAACCAGCAAGATCGAGTTAAAATCTTCTTTCTTGTCACATTCACATTACAGAGTCCCATCTGGTGACTCACATAATCTCGTCACTGCTCTTGAGCACCCAGTTTACTGCTAGGATCATTTGTTTTCTGCTTCTGTGACTCATGCATATGTCGCATGTTTTGGATTGCCTACATGTTGAATCATTATTTATATACAAATCAGTAGAAATATGGTAGGTTTGATAATATATTATGCTTTACTTCAATGTCTGGCGAATAGGTGTGTTTAAAATTAGGCGTTTATTGTCTGTCAAGTTTTAAAGGTTGAGGAAATCCTTGAACACGTTAGTATACAATACACACATAAGGATTGATTAGGCATGTACACGTCACAAATGAGAAATCTGGATTCCAACCCATAACCATAAAAATCCTTTAAGTGGGAAGTAGAAAGTACAGAATAAGCACGTGTATGAGCACTTTTTTGTTCATATTGCAAAACAGTGTTTGCATTGTAGAATTCTTATGGATTAGTATTACATGTACAACTGTGGAGATAGCAGACAGATCAGTAAACTTAGGAGCGAGATTCTAAATTGAGGGAGCTTATACAAGTTTCTAACCACATGAATGTGGACCTAGATACAAATATCTTATCTGAGAGAGCAAATGCTGATCACTAGTGAGAGAAGCATTTCGATTTTCGATCAAGAGTATTAACGAATTTGAAATGTCTTTTTCCGGCATTTTTGTGATATGCATTTCATCTCCGATAATTTTTTGGTCTATGAAACCATACAAAGTGCTGTGGTTGAAGAGAAGTTTCTATTTCGCTTTTGATTTAGATTACTCTAAAACATATATAAAATTTTCATTTCACTTCCCATGCCAAAAGTGGCGAGGAAGTGTTCGCGAAAAATTTCGAAATTGAGAAGTTTTTTTGGATGTTATATGACATCACGAAAAACCATGTCACTCATTTCCGCTCAGATTCGGATGAAATTTTCACAAAAGGTTGCTCCTATATCAAGGATGAAAAAGCTTTGTATTTTTTGAAAATCGGCCAAGTGGTCGCAGAGCTAGTATAAAAACACCAAACAAATAAAATTCGATTAAACCTCATTTTTTGACGTTTCAAAGGTTCCTAATCAATGTTAAATAATTTTTTGTAGAGGTTGAAACTTGGGGGCTGGGGGTTGTAAATGTAACGTCTTTAGAATTAGTTACGGACGTTCTATGATTATGAAACTTCTGACCTTGGTAACAACAGGAAAATTAAATTATAAATATCCAAGGTTTGTCCATAATTCGAAATAACATGGCAATTGGTGTTGCGTGCACTGCGAGATGCTGCATCATCGTGGAGGCCACTCTGCAAACTTCAACTAGTCTGCGGTGGTCGTCACTGACACACCGCTACAGGAGAAACATTTATATATTTCACCAACATTTGGATATTATTAGTACGTACCACTTTAGCGTTTAGAGATGCTTTTGTAAATGATGACTTAACTGTTTATATATCTACACATGCCATATTTTTCTTGATTTTATGATCCTTGAGTATACCTCTCATTCATCTAACATTTAACTTATGTTACTCCGTCTATGATGGTTATCTGAATATTTCGTTAAGTAGATTAACTCGGTACTTATGACGCATGACATGCAACAGACACAGGCTGACAAACTGACATAAATGAGAAACACGGATTTGTGCGATGCAGATTTAAGCAACACAAAACCTGTGAACCGAAGTTCGAATTTAATCCCGAGTTTAATAGTTACATCGTTTAGGTAGTCGTATATTTTGAAAGTTGATTCAGATGCGGCGGAACTAGAATCACTGAGATATATCGTTACAATGTTTCAGAGATTCCTGCTCATTTTGAGACATTCTTCGGTTGTTATGAAAATTGTAAGCGGGAAGCTGTATGCGGTAAATGGTTGTGAATTGATGCATATTTGATGTCAAAGACCCTCTATTATTAGGAAGCTGCCGATTTCAGTTATACTATGCACCTCTTAGACACAATAAGTCACACATATTCTCCCTACATCTTCCATGAAAAGAGAAATTTGA